TACGAGCTGACGTACAGGGAAATCAAGGAAAAATTAAAAGAATTTTACGAACCAAAACCGCTGGTAGTTGCGGAAAATTACAAATTAATGCAAAGGAAGCAGCAGGAAGGAGAATCAGCACGAGATTTTCTAGTTGCCTTACAGAAGCTGTCGTTAAATTGCAAATTGGAACAGTATGCAGACACGATGTTACAGAATTAGATCATATGTGGCCTACGAAACAAGAGGATCCAGAATAGGCTTCTGGAAATGGCGGATCAGGACCTGGAAAAGACAATACAAATTGCAACCACGATGGAGTTGTCCGAGAGGAGCACGAAGCAGCTTCGAGGAGAAGAAACAGTCGCAGCCGTTGGAGCAGCAACGAGGAAGGTGCCTTTTGTTAAAGATAAGTCATTCAAGAGAAAGAAATTTGAACGCGGGAAATTCACGAAAAATGGCGCGAATAGCGAGCGTGAAGATAGGCGCGAACCGAGGCGCGAATCGAGGCGCGATAGTCATTTGGTCGTTTGCTATAGATGCGGTAAAGATCATTACGCGTCCGCGTGTAAAATGGATAGATCAATCAAATGTTTAAAGTGCGGGAAAGCAGGGCATATTAAAAAAGTTTGCAAAGCGAAATCGTTTCCAACGAATACAGTAGACTACAGGGAAACGACGAGCGAAATACTTTCAATACAAGAACATACGCAATTTCGCGAGAAAATATATGTTACGCTTAATGTGAATGACAAACAAGTGCGATTCGAAATAGATAGTGGCGCGGCCGTTACATTAATGTCGGAAAGCGACGCGAGAAGATTGTTTGCGGGCGCGCGAATTCAAAAAACGGATTTACATTTAATATCGTTTTGTAAAGCACAGATACGCGTGTTAGGATACATTACTGTTAAGGTGAGGAGCGGTGAGACTTTGCGTAAACTAAACATTTACATTACCACGCAAGATCGCGAACCGCTACTCGGTAGAGAGTGGATATTGCAGATGAAAGAGCATGATAAAGTACAAAATTTTACGAATATCTTGCAGTCGATACACTCATTACAGGTTATGGAGAAAGCTGAATTGCAGAAATTATTGCAGGAATTTAGAGAAATTACGAATCCAACAGTATCAAAAATCTCGAAAATCGGGAATTTAGAGAAATTACGAATCCAACAGTATCAAAAATCTCGAAAATACAAGCGCGACTAAATCTAAAAGATAACGTTCAACCGGTATTTTGCAAACCCAGGGGGGTACCGTTTCGCTTACGAGCTCAAGTAGAGGAAGAGCTGGAGAAACTAGTAAATACGGGAATTTTAGAAAAAGTCGACTGCGCGGATTGGGCAACACCGGTCGTGCCTGTTCTAAAGAAGAATGGTGCGATACGGTTATGCGGGGACTATAGTGTTACATTAAACCCAAGATTAAAGATCGACAAGCATCCGTTACCGACGCCAGACGAACTCTTAACACAAATGGCGGGCGGTACAGTATTTTCAAAAATTGATTTATTGCAAGCATACTTACAGTTAGAAATACGACCAGAAGACCGCGAATTACTTACTATCAACACACACAAAGGACTTTACAAACCGACGCGACTAATGTACGGAGTAGCATCAGCGCCAGCGATATGGCAACGCACAATTGAAAATATTTTAAAAGATATTCCGGGTGTCGTAGTATTTTTGGACGATATACGTATTGCAGGCGTAGATTCGAGAGACCATTTACAAAAATTACGGCAAGTTTTTACGCGATTACAAAAATATAATATAAGAATTAACGTAGATAAAAGCGAGTTCTTTACAGACCAAATACAATATTGTGGTTACATAATTAATAAAAGCGGTATACATAAAGCGCCAGATAAAATAGAGGCAATTAATAATATGCGAAGGCCCACAAATATTACAGAATTGAGAAGTTTCTTGGGCATGATACATTACTACGATCGATTCATTCCGAATTTAAGTTCAATTTTGAAACCGTTGAATACATTATTACAAAAGGAAGTAAAGTATGAATGGTCTCCCGACTGCGAAAAAAGTTTTCAAGCCGCGAAGAAAGCTTTTACAAGTCCGCGATGTTTAGTACATTTCGACCCTAAACTCCCAGTTACATTGGCGACAGACGCAAGCCCATACGGAGTCGGAGCAGTTCTTTCGCATATTTTTCCGGACGGTTCAGAAAAAGCTATACAATACGCGTCAAGGACATTGTCAAAAGCGCAACAGGCCTATGCACAAATCGATAAAGAGGCGTTTGCAATAATTTTCGGAATTAAAAAGTTTTACCAATATTTACAGGGATCTAAATTTACATTAATTACAGACCATCGTCCGCTTACACAAATATTTTCACCCGCAAAGAGTTTGCCAGTATTTACAGCCGCGAGAATGCAGCATTACGCGTTATTTTTACAAAGTTTTAACTATGATATACAATATAGAAAGTCAGAATTACATGCAAATGCAGATTGCTTATCTAGGCTTCCAATTCCAGCTACCGATACATACGAATGCGATACAATTGACGAATTCCACAAGGCTACATTCAATACATTGCCGGTTACAGCAGAGCAAGTTGCACAAGCTACATTAGAGGATAAAGAATTGTCTAAATTATTAAAATGCATTCGAACAGGACGAGGGGACTTGAAGAACAATAGATTTCATTCAGTTCCGCTCACAGAGTTTACGCTTTTCAACAACGTGATTTTTAGAGATCATAAGGTAGTTATTCCGGTAAAATTACAAAAAAAAATATTACAAGAATTACATTCAGGACATTTTGGTGTGGTCCGAACGAAACATTTAGCCAGAGGATATGTCTGGTGGAATAAGATAGATAATGACATCGAAAATTTAGTTAGAAATTGTTCCGAATGTAACGCTTACAAAAATAATCCAACTCAGATTACACACCATATTTGGGAACCAGCTAACGTTCCGTTTCAGCGAGTTCACATAGATTTTGCAGGACCATTTTTAGGGCATTATTTCTTTGTTCTGGTAGATGCATACACTAAATGGCCAGAAATACACGTAGGTAATAATATAAACTCACAAGTTACGATAGAAATTTGTAGAAAGATATTTGCAATTTACGGATTGACCCAGTACTTGGTCTCCGATAATGGAAGAGCGTTTGTTTCGAAGGAATTTACAGATTTCCTAAAAGTAAATGGAATTACGCAAAGGCTCACTGCTCCATACCATCCTGCCACAAACGGACAGGCAGAGCGTTATGTACAAATATTAAAGAATTCGTTAAAGCGAATGAAAGCGGATCGTACGAATATACAACCAGCGTTACAACAATTGTTAATACAGTACAGAAATACGCCACATGCGAAAACAGGAATATCACCCGCGGAATTATTATTTTCAAGAAAATTACGTACGCGATTAGATTTATTACGTCCTACAGTCACAAAAGAAAGATCATACACGCCCTCCATTATTTTCAAGGAGGGAAAGAGAGTCAGTTGTCGAAATTACATAGGAAATGTTAAATGGGTTTTCGGAAAAGTGTTAAAGCAACTGGGCGACTTACATTACAATATACTTTTGGATGACGGGCGTATTTGGAAACGTCATGTTAATCAGCTGAGACCGATAGGGGACAATACACCAGTTAGGAGCGAAGATTATATTCAATTTGAAGACGATATTCCTCCGACCGATATGGCAGGGAATACAATCCGAAACACAGGGAACAATTGTCCAGAAAATGCGAGTTCCGAATTAACTGATAGTGAAACAATTGTTAATACTCCGGGAAATGGAACAGGAAAAGAAAATACACATGCGAATACAAGCGTTAGATTTAGGAGCGAAGTAAATACACCGTCCCCATCTTCTCATTCTCAATCTCATTCTCATACTCAGCCTGAAACCACATTAGAAAATTCTGATTATTCTACACCTAGAAATTCATTCCTTACATCCACCCCTCAACATTCCCCTGAACCGATTACAGAAACGTCACGAAGATCGCCGGAAACAACCGAACGGTACCGAGCGAAAACCGCGCGATAATTCGATCGGCAATTGTTTTTACACTGCGTCTTCCCGCTCGGCCATGCGTTGGCGTCATTCTACGTTTTGCCTACGTCTCGTTCACACCGTATTAAATAAAGTTAATTGTTATTTAAAAGTATTACAAAAGTGTTCATTGGTCTCCCCGCCCAAACACAATAATATGTATATATGTAGTTATATAGGGAATAACAAGAGCAATAGGCATAGTAATTATAGTTCTATCGATAGCAGCAACATAAAATGTGTAATTACCTAATTTATATTGAAGATAATAAGAGTAATAGAAATATTAATTATTGTGCTATCGATAACAGCAACATAACATGGGTAATTAAATAAGTTATATTTTGAATAACAAGAGTAATGGGCATAGTAATTATAGTGCTATCGATAACACGTTCATTGGTCTCCCCGCCCAAACACAATAATATGTATATATGTATTAGTGTGCGCTGTAGTACAGGATATTGTAGAAAGCTAATAAAAATCTGTTGAGAGAATAAAGATAATGTAGCAATTAATTTGCTTCTAAAATGTTGAAGAAAACTGTAAGTTATGGAAGAAAATGTGATGAATACATAAATCGGACGATTGCTTTCTTCCGCTGTATTGAATGTCGTTCACATTAGGCTATTTTGACATGTATTTGCCTAATCTGAACGCCCCCTTATGCAGGTTCGCCGCAGCGCAATCTTGCAGTGAAATGCGGAACTTTGATTAAATGTCGTTCACATTAGGCTATTTTGACAGGTACTTGCCTAATCTGAACGCCCCCTTATGCAGGTTCGGCGCAGCGCCATCTAGCAGTGATACGCGGAACTACAATAGAAACTTCACAGATGGTATATTACCGTTGAAATGTAATCAATTATTTACCGACAGAACCGTTATTATATTGCGATTGTACTTTTGTTTTGACTGTAAGCTTAAATGCAAAATTCAATTCTGATTGCTACAAATTATTGTGATGCAATTGTTCATTACAATATTCTAATGTATAATTACTGTAATTAATGTAATAATTAAGTCTACAGAATACAATGAAATAGCTAGATTTTAAACGTAATAAATTGCTTGCGAAAATTCGTTATTGATTTCAAAGTAGCTATACCTCTTTTAGCATTTCTTTCTCACGCTCTTTACCCATGCAAAGTAGATTTCTACTAGCAGTGTACTATTATTCTTATATTCTAGGAGGGCCATCTAAAATTGTGTAATAGCCAAATGTTTTTCCAGATCTAGTACCTATTTTTCTATGGATGATAAGAAATATTGTTCTAGTGGTCACACTGTTACTAGTAACCGGTAGTGTATAAGAAGACTCTGTTGTAGGATGCGTAAGAAGGAAACGTGGGTTAAGTTTTAATTTTGTAAGGAATTTAAACAGTTATTGTCCATGTGTATTAATCAAATAAATATGTTTCGTCAAGTAAGTTACAAAAGGTAGTGTAACATAGAATGTACTGAAAATGTATCATCTATATTGTTAAATATACCTTTTTTAGGTTATACCCAGAATCATACCAAATATTTCCACACCAAGAAGTATACAAATGTGTACTGCCACTGATAATGTAAAGTTGGAAAAGAGTGAGTAAGAAAATTGAACACTTTTAGATATACTTATTAATAATTTCTCAAAGGACATCATTCATAATATGTACCATTCATGAACTTTATTTTTTAAGCGTGTCTCATTTCTTTTGTCTTTGAACATATTAAATGTTTTGAATGTAATGTGTTATGTTTACTAGTTAATATAGTTTGTTTTTATATTTTACGTTTTTCCAAGCCCTCTGTTATAATAATATTTCGTTTCTTCATTGTTTTCTTCTTAGTAGCAAACAAATGCCTGATTGCTTATTGTCATTTTTGAGTTTATTGTTATTATTTTTCTTCTTATTTAATCGTCTTGACATGTAACACAAGAATTATAAAAATTTTAATTATCAAAATAGAATATTGATGTAAGGAATTTAAATTCTGAGATAAATAATAAAAGAAATAAAATAAAATAGTTGTCTTAAAACTAAGAAGATTAAAGAACTTTTAGTATCAATTTTAATTAAAGTTTGAAACACTGATTATTAATTTGGAATATTATATTGAAATTTTGTTCTTTAACTTTTACAGCAATAAATCAAGTTACCTTATTAGGAAGGGTAGGCATTGATCCACAAAAAAGGGGTAACCAGGAACATCCTGTTGTTGTATTTTCTCTTGCCACGCATAATAATTACAAATATCCAAATGGTACGTTAATAAATTTTATAATTTTAGAGGTCTCATAATTTAATATCGCAAATATAGATTTGTGCATTTAAATGCAAAAAGGTTTTGAATTTGTTGTATTTTGTTCAGTTTATTAGTAAAGTACTTGAAAGACGTAACTATTTTCATAAAAATTCGAAAAAACATTTATACAATTAAGTATAAATATGTTCATAAAATTGTAACTAAAGTTTGTTTCAAATCAAAGAAGACTGCATGCGAAGTTTACTTATTTTAAACAAAATTTCAGGTGATTTTATGCAAAAGACAGAATGGCATAAAGTATGTGTTTTTAAACCAAATTTGCGTGACGCAGTTTTCAATTATTTAAAGAAAGGACAGAGAGTATTAGTTTCTGGGAAAATAAGTTACGGAGAATTTAAAGACGAAGAAGGTATTACGAAGCCCAGTACTGCTGTAATAGCGGATGAAGTAATATTCTTTCAAACACAACAATGATTTATAAAACTTTATATAGCTTATTATGTATATTTTTTTTTAATAAAATATAAAAAATTGATGTGTAAGTAATTTTGTTACCAAAAAATATATGTTTTTATTATTTAAAAAAAATGTTCATAAACTCATTGAAAAGCATAATTCATGCTCCAGCATTATATCGATGACAAAGTTTCTTTCTCCTTAGATTTCTTCCTTGTGACACTTTTAACGTTGCTCTTGAAGAGGAATAATAAATTGACTCAAAATTTACCTTAATAAGTAAATAAATCTCTATTTACACATTGCTAATTCATTTGCAATGAGTTATACAATGAACGATCCATATTTTCCTAAAATTGTACAAGTTTTATTTTATACAGAACCTTTAAAAAGAAAATGAAACATAAACTTTCTTAATAAATCGAACGAGTAGTCTGTAAATGCTAGAGAAAAGACCGTTTTTCTCAATAGCGTCGATATCGTTCAAAACTCTACGATGTGTACACATGTAAACGGTATATTTCTAAAGATATGTGATAACCCGAATTGAAATCGTAATCGAGATCAAAACGTGGTACTTCAAAGTAACACATTCCCTTTTTTTTTCCTTAACCGTTGTCGGTGAACATAAACAGTACATCCACAAAATTATAAAGATGTTATATGATTACGTATCAATAAATAAATTTCAAAATCTTATGAACTTTATATTAACATTACAAATGTACGGCACATCGAAAGATTTAAATTCATTTTACGGTCTGAATTCGGGTTATTGCCTTTAAGAACACAATTTGTGTACGTATTGTTTTTTTCTTTTTTTTTTGTTCTTTTAAATATATTTATCATTAATATAAATCATTCTTTTACGAAACTATATACACGAAACAAAAGTTTTTCTATGCATCCGCATTTGTTACTATAAAAATTTCACGGAGATCACAGTATACAAATAGCCAAATACAATTGTTTTTATTTCCATTTATAAATCTCTCTAATGCACTATTTATTTTCGCGGGTTTAATCTCTCTTTCACTCACGCGCGCACACACACACACACACACGTGCATCACACTCTCTTATTCTGTCACTGGTTTTTCCTATTCTTTCCTCGTCTCACAAATTCGTAACAATATTTCGTACTTCATGTCCGTCTTTTGTAGCGATTCCTTTGAAAAAATACGATCTTAAAACCTGTTCCTAATCGTACACACGCCTTCGGTCCCTAGTCACATTTTTTTTATCATTTTAATAGCCTAGGGTCCGTTGGCGAGGAATGTGAGCCACAATCGCATCGACAACGAACATAGAAATTTTGAATATAAATTTCTCTTCGGTAGTAAAATATATATATATACATATATATATATATAATATATATATATATAATATATAGAGATTTATTTTATACATAAATTTATATTCATATATGTATATGCATATATATGTATACATATGTGTATGCCCATATGTATACATATATAACTCTGGCCCCAAATTCCATAAAACTCTTTCATATTTTTTTTTTTACTACTTAATAGAGTTCGTTATTATTTTTTCTTAATAGTTTATCAACTTATTTACAGATGTCCGCGATTTAGGTATACGAACAATCCTTACAGTCGTTTTGACAGTTCCAAAACGATGACACGCTTTTTCTTCTCCATTTATACAGATTACTATAAACGCATACATATATGTATATATGTAATTATCGACGATTAGATTGGCACAACTGAGTGGGTGCAACGGGAAACTAGTTTAAGTTTTATCAAATTCAAGTATTTACAGGATAGATCTTCCTTTCTTCTCGTACAAAAGTAGATCCTTTACAAGATTGAACTAACATTACCTTTTATATTACAGTAATTGTTTTTATAAACTTATGTAAAGTTTCTCTTTTTAAATAAAAAAAAATTCTTTCTTTCAATAAATTTGATCTCTCGTTAACAACTAAGCATATTTCACCACGGGCAATTTATCTTTGAGCTAAATTTTACATCACAGAATAACTTTGGAATAAAATACCTTTCGATCCGTTTCCCGAACACCGATTTGTACATTCGTCGATAACGACCCTATCCAAGCCTGTTCTTTTTTTTCTCTCTCTCTAAATTAGTTCGTTGTAGAAGCGAGAAACGTTTCACACTCGCGCACGTGCGTTTACACGGAGGATGGAAAACAGATGGCGGAATATCCGCGAAAGTTTTAGCTTCATCGAAGCGTCCTTCACAATTGCAACACGACAATTGGCTGCCGGTTTTTCGTAGGCGACCAATCATCTTACGATTCGAAGCGCGCGGAAATTTGAACCGCGTTGATTATTCGATCGTTAAGTAGACTCAGAATCGGCAAAGAACTGGACATTGTTGAACATATTGTTGCGACCAACGTTCAAACGAGAATTTTTTAACGGTTCCGACCGCTACATTAGTAGATTTCTAAAAGCAAATCGGTACGTTACCGACCGAGCGAGACAAGAAGATTCTTCTTGATAGTTTTCGCAGGCTGATATCCGTAAACTTGTTGTTTTTCAGTCTTTTGTCATTACATACGTCCCGGAAACGTCGATGACTCGGCAGCTTTCGATTAATTTTCTCACAAATCTTCTTACGTGAACGGTGATTCCGACAGCTGACTCGGAAACAGATCTCTTCGAACGTTTCTTACAAGCACGGTCGTTGTCGTAAATGATCAGGGTGACAAGGACGTGCTGCAGCAAGGAATCCATTTTGTCAGTCGACAGAAATACGTAGCTGAATCAACGTTATGTCTCGCGTCACTTCTTCTCTTCCGACTCCTGATTAGTTTTTACCAGGTTATACGCGTGACTTCTGTATTTTGCAGGTGGGTCGTGAAGAGGTAGTGGTTGTTGCGGTTGCGATTGTTGCTGCTGTGATTGTTGTTGTTGTTGCTGTTGCTGCTGCTGTTCGGTAGATAGCTGACTCATGCTAGACATCGAGAGGTCTGTTGGCATATCGGTTTCCGGCTCGACGCCATTTCCGCCTTCTTCTTCCGGTTCTAATTTTATCCGCATTTGCTGACGCAGCAAAGATATGTTCTTTATGTTCTTCAGCTCTGTTGGGTTTCGCAGAAATCTGAACAAGAAAATTGTGTTGTTTTAAAGCTCATTCCTTCTTACATTTATAGTGCAATTATATTAATAAATTTCTTGTGTTTAAATTGAAGATGGGGATATTTGCATTCAGTAATAAAATCTTATCTTGAAATATAAATTTCTTTTTTCTTAATTTAAGAATATACACTTCTGTTCAAAAGTCATAAATTATTTATTAGATATGGTAATCAGTAATTTTGTAGTATACATTTTTTAAATTATGTAACAGCTTTACTATTATATTCATGCATATCTATATATATTACATAACTCAGACAAAATATTTCTGTTACAATGTAAATCAATAAGTACAATAGTACAATGTTAGGTTAGGTTATGTTATGTTAGGTTAGGTTAGTATTGACATATTTTGTCACTAACTGATTTACATTGATTATAATATTAAGGGAAATGTTAATAGAAATACTATTACAGAAATTAAAGACAAAAATAAGTTATTAGCATATTGAACGTTTTAGAGTCAATATTTATTGTGTGAAGTAGAACATGTTTTAATTAATGATTTCAGTAAAGTTTTAAATAAATTAGATTATATAATTGATTCCTTTTTTTCTGAATATCATAACGGTTCTAATAATTCTTTAGATTTTTGTTAAATTTTACTATGACTTCTGAGATAGGAGCGTACCTAGGTCTGGGTATGTTCTTTCATAAAAATGATACAATTTTGATTTTCAGAATATTGAATAAAATAACACTATATTAGATTATCCGGAAAGCTTAATAAATCTTTTCTCAGTAAACAGTAGAAAATTTAGTAATACTTTGAGGCAGTCCAAAATATACAGAACTTTGTACAGTCCAGGATAAAAGTAAAACTTTTACGTTACTTTTATGTAATAATCTAAATTTACAAGCTTTAAAATATGAAAGTTTCCAATTCTATAAATAAAAAAAGTGTTTAAATTTAAATTGTTTGTCAGAAAAAAAATGTAAATTTCATATGAGACGTTTTGCAACCGCAACACCTTCCGGATAAAAAAATACACATTTTTTGTCGTTTTGATCGTAAATTAAAGGTAAAAAAATAATAACGCAGAACTTACTGGTAACAATGTCGTTCTCCTTGAACCTTTCGTAAAATATTCACACGGTAATAGTATCGTAGAGCTCTACTCATTTTATCGTAATTCATGGAAAGATGATTTTTCTGAATGCCCCAAAGTCTCGCGAGTCCTGGAGGATCGACGATTTTGAAAACACCCATTTCCCGATTTTTCCACGCGATGTAGTGTGTGTATCGTTGTGAAGGATCGTTTAATAATTGTTGAAGGAAGTCCCACAGAAGTCTACCATCTGCAATAAAGAAGAATCATTTTAGTATAACGTACATTTTAATTCAATTATAGGCAGAAGTATGTAATTCAATTTTATATTAATAAAAATATTACAAAATTATTGTCAAATTGGTGCTGTCTTAAATTAAATAAATTTAGAAAATTTTTCAAATATTTAAATTCTCAAAATTTTAGGTTTTCAAATGCCCAGATATTTACAATTTTAAATTCCCAAATTTCTGACTATCAAAAATTAAATTCTCAATTTCCTAAATTTCCAAATTCTTCAATCTTTCAATCCCAAATGTCAAATTTTCAAAAATTCTAAACTTCCACATCTCATTCGCCTTTCCCACAAAACATTATACATTACAGAGTTAATTAAACGTATCAAAGCATGGTCAACAAGACCCCAGTGAAGTGTCATAAAAATTATCTGCTAAATTAGAACAAAAATTGCTAACAGAAACGACTTTCCTCACACAAGAGGAAACGACTTTCCTCTCTCAAAAGAGGAAGTTTATAAAAAAAGCGCTTACTGGTATTAGGTTCTGGGGAATCGTTGGGGAAAAACTCTCTGGCAACGTTGGTAGTGTTCGTCCTGAAGGCACCGGGCGTCAAAGGCATCATGGGCTGCGTAAGGGTAGGGCTGAGCTGATCCTTAACGCAAACTTCGCTTAGCCTTTGGGCGGCGAGGGCTGTGGGCGTAGCTGGCGGGCTTCCTGTTGCCGCTTGTTGATTATCCTCGTCCGAATCGCTCTTGTAAACCTGGCTCTGATTGCTCTCCATGTGTCCCGGCGAACCTGCTTGGCTGTCCACGGACGGCGCCGGCGATAACGTCACCGAATTCGCGGACATTAACGAGGCCAAGTTTGCGGTGTACGAGTTCTCCGTCCAAGTCGGTGTCGGTGGATGAGAATGGGGGCTAAGGGGATACGCGGACGGCCTCGTGGGCGTCACGGGGCTACTGGGCAGATACCTTTGGAATTGGTTAAAGTCCCTAGCCAGCATCGACAGCACATTGTGCAACACGTCGCCCGCGCCCGGGCATCTTTCGCCCAGGTCCGCTTTTGTTAACAGGCAAAGCGCTTTGCCGTTCATTTGGAACATGTCCATGTCGAATTTGGGCAGGTCGAACTCTCGCTCCGCCCATCGCAGGAACGTCGCCACATCCTCGCGGGACCACAGCCTTGGATCCGAAGCTGTTAAAAAAATTCTTTTGTTAGTTTTCTTTGTTTTAATGAAATATCTTTTTTTCTTATATAAGAAAGTAAACATTAATTAATTATTTACATTAATTTTATTAATTCTTATTAATTATCATACAATTAAATTCATTTTATCAATTTTTTATTAATTAATGTTTTTGTTAAGCATTAAATAATTAAATTAATTTTATCAATTTTTTATTGATCAATGTTTTTGTTAAGCATTAAATAATTAAATTAGTTTTATCAATTTTTTATTAATCAATGCTTTTATTAAGCATTAATTAATTAAATTACTTTTATCAATTTTTATTAAGCATTAATTAATTAAATTACTTTTATTAATTTTTATTATGCATTAATTAATTAAATTGATTTTATTAATTGTTATTAATTATTAATTACCAAAATTAATTTTTAATTCAATTTAAAAAAACGAACATATTAATAATAACATTGTATTTGTTTAATAACAAAAGATTTCTGAGATAAAAAATAGCTATGGGTACTAAAAGACCCTAAAGACCGTCGATCATTCAAAGTTCAATAAATAATTCATAAAGTTTAAACAATGAAGTTGCAAACAAAAAAGTTTTAAACTACATAGTTCAATTCATAGTTCCATATAATTAAATGATTTTTTAACTAATTAATTACTACTAATATTTGGTAATTAATTCATAATTAAATTTCTTTAATTAAGAGTCAAATTGTAATTATCATACGGACGATTATAATTTGATTCGATGATTAATTACTGGAAGTAATTAAACTCCTCTTAATTACGAAATAAATTACAATTGTTTGAATAATTTCTTAATTGAAAATTAGACAAATTATTTTATCTCATAATTAAAGAGATTTTAATTATGTAGAAAACCACTTATGGAATAAAATTAAAATGAGAAATAAAAAAATTTTAAGTTGGAATGAAAGCAAATATTAACTGAAATTTAGAGAAAGAAATATATAAATAAATATTAATATGTTGATTATTATAATTTTACTCCTTTTTAAAAAGCCTGAAATATCCGCATATAATTTTCTAATAGTGTACTAAAATTTTTAGAACTTATATTGTGGACGCCATATGCGAACTTATATGGCGCCAAATTCAAATCGTATACCGCCAATTCAGATCGCACGGCGCTAAATTCAAATCGCACGGCGCCAAATTCAAACCACATGGCGCCAAATACAAATTTTAAATTACAATTATCGTTTCTGTGCTCTCCAATATCGACATTCCAATAAGAAATGTAAATTCTTTTAAATGAATGACATTAATATAAAAATATATATTTTGCAAAAATTACCACCATTAGTAAAAGAACTATATTTAACTGTACTCAGAAAAGATTTATGATTGTCACATAAAGTGTTTGCTTTCATCACTAAAATTTAACAAATTGCAGGAGTTCAACTCACCGAGGCTTGTTGGCAAGTGCGTCTTGAAGTCTAGAAAGGGGCTGGGCGATGGATGAGAGGGTGGAAAATTCATGGCAGGGCTGTATCGCCAAAGTAACTCTGTAGGGCTGAAAGGCAATGATATACCCGGTGGTAGTCGAGACTCCATACCCGTCACTCCACCCCCGGCCGAAACCGGCGGCAATTGCGGCAACTGGATCGACGGCAACAATTTCATAACACGCCTTGTTTTGTGTCCTCTCTTTCCTGAAATCAGTAAAATACAATGGTCAATTTTCTCTATTAAAAGCGTATAGGTCTGCGGAATTAACGACACCGTAATTACAGCCGCAAAATGACGGTCGAATTGCTGCCGCAATTTTGCAACAAAGTTTATACCGCGAAATTCAATTTGTAAATAATGGAGCATTTTAAATGAGAAACACTGTTAAGTTTTAATAATAGTATTTTATGTTAATCAAATATCGTTCAACGTACTTGTATGAATAGAACATGTATTGTCACAACATGAATTATTTGCGAATAATAAGCAAATATTAAAATATGATTTAAATTATAATCCTTTTTAAAATGGTTATTTCTCGTAGTATTAAAAGTGAGATTAAATGTTAAATAATGATAATGTTAAATTATTTATCGACAAAAAATGTAGAAACGTTTACATGCATCGAGATGTGTAGTGCGCATGCGCAGCCGTGTCATGCGCATGCGCACGCAGCGTCTACGCAACGCAGTGTCTACGCAACGCAATGTTTTCTTCGCGTATATTTACTTTGTTCAAGAAAACATTTTGTTTCGTCTTTTTGGAATACCGTATATATTATATAATCTCACACACTGCGTCCTTATCTCAAGTATTGTTTAAAACTGATTAATCGTCTGTTGTCATACATATTATCACATTATTATTAGGTTATATAACACGTTGTAAGTACTTTACCCTCGTATGTAGGATATTTAAGACGAATGATTGAACGATATTAACCTATAAATACATTAAATTATTTTTAACAAGGACAGTAACAAAATGTTTTTGTAATAATTTTTGTGTAATACATAATAAGAAAAAATGATACAAAAATAAGGAACAGTAAAAATGTAAGTGCAATTGAAAATTCATTTATTCCTCTACTGTTAACACTTTAATTACTACTTAAATCAATTGATTTCGGCAAACAGTTGCATAACGCGAGGAAGCGTGTTAGATGAATGTAATCAATCGGGAATTCAGAACGGACATTTTTTAACTTAGAGGTCGTGACAAGCCAACGAAAGCAGGAAGTCGTGCCGGAAGTCGTAATCAATGCAAGAAATCGCTCGAGAATGATCTTCAGCACAAAAAATTGCCTTTTCAATCTTCGTTAGAATCTTTCCGAGTGCAGCCAACCGAATCTGCGTCTAGTATTTAAATCCAAATACATTACTGACAAAAATAAAAAAAGAGTACCATATCTGATTTTATTTCACACTAAATGATGATAAAACAATGTATTGTATCTAGTACAATAATCAGGAACAATTAATCTTGCATTCTTTCTGCCATAGCCCCTAGACGATTACAAACATATGTCAGTACACTAATTTATCACTATGAGAAAGTACTCGAAACAATTTTTCACAACTTTCAACATTTCAATTTTTCTTTAGACTCATCGGAACATTGGAATTTCGGGATTCTAAACTAGCAATATAGGGAAAGGGGAATCTAGGGAAATATGGTTCTAGTGAAATAGAGATCTAGGCAAATAGGGATCTAGGGAAACATGGATCTAGGGCAATATGAATCTAGGGAATTAGGGCTATATCGAATGAGAGATCTAGGGAATTAGGAATTTAGGGAAATGAGAATCTAGGGAATTTGGAATCTAGATAATTAGGGATCTAGGGAATTTGGAATCTAAATGAATTAGAGATCTAGAGGAATATGAATCTAAGGAATTAGGGATTTAGGGAATTTTAAATTTAGAGAATTGAGGATCTAGGGAGTTTTGAATCTAGGGAATTTGGAATCTAGGGAATTTTGAATTTAGAGAATTGAGGATCTAGGGAGTTTTGAATCTAGGGAATTAGGGATCTAGGGAATTTTGAATTTAGAGAATTGAGGATCTAGGGAGTTTTGAACCTAGAAAATTAGGGATCTAGGGAATTTGGAATCTAGGCGAATTAGAGATCTAGGGAATTAGGGAATTCTGAATTTAGAGAATTGGGGATCTAGGGAGTTTTTAATCTAGGGAATTAGGAATCTAGGGAATTCTGAATCTAAGGAATTGGGGAGCTAGGGAAATAGGAATTTAGGGAATTAGGGAGCTAGTGAAATAGAGATTTAGGGAAATAGGGATCTAGCGATATCTGGTAGAAATCTATGATCCCAGATTCTAGGGATATAGGAATTTAAGAATATACGTCTCAATTTAACAACATACACTTTTCTTGTACGGTATATGTATACTAAAAATGAATAAAAAATTAGTTCTCCACTGTGAGCAGACTTAATATCTACTAATATGCATATGGTGCTGTAGACACTTTTTTTAATCGCCGTCTACATGCAATGGTAAAGGTCTATTACGTATACGGTTGAAAAACGTATTTGCGACGTATTTATTGTTTTTGCTAGTATATACGAAGGAATTTCAGTAAAGCTGAATGACATAATTCTATCTAGGGTGAGAAACAGAAGGCGCACACAGGTGGTAGCGATAGACGTACGAGAATGTAAATACAAACGTAAACAGACGCGAAACGAGTGTTTTAGCCGATCTTCGTTTTCCTTAATGTCAGAGGTTCGTTATTCCTTATTCATAGTTCTTACGTAACTAACGAGAACACATAAACGAAGCTACTACAATTTGGTCGACATTAGCTATCCCACGCTTTGCAAGATTCGCTTATGAGCAAACTTTATCTTGACATTTAAATCTGACGGATAAACGCATGTGCATTTTCTTCTATTCTCAGTGAAATATTGAACATGTTTATAGATATGTATTTGGATTTCATTTTCATAAATTGTTAGTGACAATTACTAGTAAATAATTTTAGATTAATGATTGCAAATAGTAATTGTTAAATAATATTAAGAATTATTAATTGTAAATTAATTGTTAAAACTATTAATTATAAAATAATTAAACAATTATAGTTTAAACAAACTGTTAAATAAAATTAATTATCTCAAATATAAATTAATATACAAAATTATTTATTAACTGATTATGGCCATATATAAATAATGATCTATATTTATTAATAACAAATGAATTATTTATTAAAATACTATAGCAATAAATTTGACTACAAACATTTTTACTAAAAAATGTTTTCAAACAATAAAATGTATATACATATAAGTTCCTTGCTTGGCATACGCCATTTTAAAAATCGCGTCTCAGTGCATGAAGATAAATATGTTTAGCGAAAGAAAAGCGTGAAACTCGAATTGAGCACGAATTCGTTTCGGTTTAAAGTAAAGGTAGAAGGCGGAAGATCCTTGAAGATGATTCAAGATTTATCGCAGAGGGAAGAGTCGATTCTCTTTTCTTCCGGGTACTCAAACGTTTCCTCTCTCCTTCTCTCTTTCTTTATCTTCACGGCAGTTTCAAATTTCTGTCGAGCTCCATTATGAAGCAATCTACTATTGATTTATCGATAACACGGGATACATCAACGATAAAACAAGCTGATTCACTACCGTTTCAATACAAAGTATTAGCTACTAATTGACTAACCATTCGAGCAAAAAAGGTATTCAATTGTGTTCGTTTCTGCAAAGAATTAAACGGTTTTAATAAAAGGTTTACAGTTATACATTAAAATACGGTTTGACGCGGTTTGATGACGATGTATTGCAATATGGCGTCTTATGGTGCCATGGTTTTGATGGAAAATCAATATGGAGATATTTTATAATTTATATTTTACCATGAGTCAATTTTTATATTTGAAAATTTAGAAGTACAGAAATTTTTAGTTTTTCAATAAATAAATTTTCACATTTTAAGTTTCTATATTCTAAATTTTTCACTTACCAATTTTTCAAATTTAAAGTTTTCAAATTTTTAATTTTTCAATCACCACCTTGTCAAATTTTTAATTTTTCAATTACCATCTTGCCAAATTTTTAATTTTTCAATTACCACCTTGTCAAATTAAAAATTTTCCAATTACTATATTTTTAAATTCTAAATGTTTCAATAATCAAATCTATAAATTTCAAATTTCGCACTCACCAAATTCTGAAAGTTTCACTTTCCAATTTCCCAAACTTTCAAATCACCACATTTCAAAATTAATAATTTTCATGTCACAAAATTTTCAACTCTTAAATCTTCCACCAACCTCACATTTCTAAAATGTTCATAAATAATATACTTCATACTGTTCATACTGTAAATAAAGTATGTAATAATTATTGTGTTGCAATTTACTAAAAAATTGCCTATATAAAACTACTAATACAAACTTTACACTAAGAAAGTTGTTTTCATTAAAAGAAGCTTAACTCCTACGACAGGTTAAGTATACAACTAACCTAATATTTTAAACTCACAAAAAATCAGTTTATTGTCACTTATTTTATTAAAGATCTACGATAATAATTGAATATTATTGAAGATATACAATAATAATTTAATATTATTGAAGATAAGGTAACTGTAACACTATAACCTTTAAAATTGTTCATACCACAGTTATGGTGTCAGGTTAATTTTCTCGGTTCTTCGAGATCGTTGAAAGAAGTATCGTTCAGATGTCGCAATCTAAGAATAAGAGACGGTGCAACAGATTACATAATACCGGCTGTGCATCTATAGAGAACCGCAAAGAGTGAAGACTTTCTCCGATCTCGGTGCACTGTGTTTACCTCCTCTATAATTCACGTTACGCTCCAACTGCACAATGATTTATCGACCGTGCACTCCGTAGATCAACGATTATATGGATTTCGATATTCTTGCGTTCGAGAGGGTTGAATCGATACTACACTAGTTATAACGCCACTGACGGCTATTAAGGTAACTAAATGGGACTTGGGTGGGCCTTTAAACGTCTTTAAATGTCGAGAGAATTATTTCAGAAATTACTGATATAATTAGTCAAATACTTTTTTAATAATAATATATGTAGTTTATATGTATTAATGTGTTTATGTATACTTGACAGGTTTTAAATTTTATAATTTTCAAGTTTGAAGGTTTTTGACTATTAGTTTTTGTACTTGAAAATTTTTGAATTTTTATATTTAT